CGCTCTTCCTCAGTTCAATTTCCAGTTCTAAATTGATTGAATTAACTGATCAGATTTTACAGACAAAAGAGGATTGAGGATTAAAGTCTAAATTAAATTAAATTTTACCACAAGGACTTTCGTTAATAATCTCGGGGGAATTAATCGACCATGGAAATCGCTCCGAGTCGTGGCGTGTGTCCGGTGTGCGGTAAAAACGCCACGCTAAAGTGCGGCAACTGCAGACGCGAATTTTACTGCGACAAGTCGCACCAGTCTCAAGACTGGCCGCGTCACAGGTCCGCGTGCATCGCCTGGGAGATCGGTCGCGATCCCGATCTCGGACGACACTTGTTGGCGACCAGGGACCTGGCACCCGGAGACGCAATCCTGTCGGAAGCTCCATTGGTCTGGGGACCGTCGATACACGCGATACAGCGGCTCTGCGTCGGCTGCGGCAAACGATGCGACGGCGACATCAGCACGAGATGCGGCGAGTGTGGCTGGCCCGCTTGCAGATCCGATTGCGAGGGACTGTCCGATAAAAAGAGGCACAAGTCGGAGTGCGCTCTTCTTGCGCGCGCTAGAATCATTCCCAGGTATATCATGTGTCCCGACAGATCCCAGCAAATAATTTTTGAACCGTTCGAGCCTTAATTAGCGAAATGCTTAACGAGGGTGGGGAAATTTATTTAATCGCGACTTTTGCATCGCGATCTCTCGTTGTGAAACGTTAGACGTGTCTTCTCCTAAAGACGCGGACGTTTCTCAAGTCACACTTGTCTTCGTTCCGTCGTTAACTTCGCGATTCACGACTCTATGCCCGCAGATGCGAAGTTCTTCTGGTGATTCGTATGCTGATACTGTGGCACACAAAATCGAAACGCTGGACGTCCTTGGCGAATCTGCAGAGTCACGAGGACTCGCGGGGACCCGGCACGGACGCTCACGACGAAGTGACGAACATAAGTCAGCATCTCGGGCCGCTCTTGACGATGGCATCCGAATGCAGGGACGTTTTGCCCAAGATTTGCGGACTGATCGACGTGAACGCGTTGGAGACCGTGCCGCCGGAAGGCTCGATGGCGATTTACGAGAACGCGTCTCTTCTGGAGCACTCTTGTATGGCGAATACGCGACACAGTTTCCGCATCGACGACAGAGGTAGACCGCGCATCACGGTATACGCCGTCACGTCCATTAAAAAGTACGTATATATCTTTATTCATTTCTCTTAAAAAAATCATCTCGTTCTTTACATCTTTATACAAAAAATTTATTATTATCCTCGCGATTATTTTTAGAGGGGAACACTTAAGTACCATGTATACGCACGCGCTTTGGTCCACCAGGATCAGACGAGAGCATCTTCTCGCAACGAAATACTTTGCTTGTCGATGCAAACGTTGCGCCGATCCCACGGAATTGGGCACGCATTTAGGCACTCTAAAGTGCCCTTGCAAAAGCGGGCTCATGTTACCGAACGATCCTCTGAATTCTAACACAGACTGGTCCTGCAACGTGTGTCCGGGAATAGTGACGTCCTCGGAAGTCGCGCAATTGATGGACAGATTAGAGGAAGAAGTCGCGGGGATCATGAAACAGGCGACCGAGTACACTTTATCCGATCTTCTGTCACGGTAAAGTAATATCTGTCGTCCCCCATAACATTTATTCGCATTAATTTTCAATTAAGAACATATTAATATTTAATGAGTAATTAAGCATCGGTACATAATAAATAAATTTTTTGTATTATTGTACGCGAGAACTAACCATACTCGTTCATTTTCAGGCTAACGATGCTGCTACATCCCGGTCATCAACATTGCATATCCGTGAGCCATTCGCTGATACAATTATTGCCGCCGAGCGATCCACAAAAATCGGAATTATGTAAGCTCATTTTGGATACGGTAACCCGATTGGATCCGCACGGTGCACGTTTGGCACTTTATACAGCGGTTACTCTGCGAGAGCTCGCGTCGTGTCCTGGCGAGGACAGGCAAGCTCATCTCTCCAGAGCAGCCTTGCTGTTGAAGGCGGAACCACCGAACTCACCCGGTGAGAAACTTCTCAAACTTGTTGAAATAGAACTCCGAGTCTTTTAATAATAGAGGAATGCAGATGGTTATATTTTTATTATTCGAACAAAACGTAAAATGAGAAAGGATTCGTTTTTTATTAAAAATATACGAAAAATAATCGTGCATGCAGCGTAATATTGCGTGTACGATCACTTGTCATTTTACTTGTCTAAATTTATTTATTCGTTTTCTCGATTTAGAGAGTGTAATTTATGTTCACAGATACACAGATAGCCATAAAAGTGGCAAAAATATTCAATGTACTTATTTATAGAATAAAAAGTGTACGTATAAAAAGGCTTATAATTATATAAAGAATGTACATACACGTGTTACGCAAATATCAAAATATACGTTGATAATGTACGCTATTATGGTCGCTCCGCATTTGCCGCGGGTACTGATTGTACATACATTGTCGTAAAATCTAGACTAGATGACTGCGTGCCACGTGAAATGCGATCGAACGAAATCCTGAAATCCGGAAGCTATTCCTCGTCACGTGTGTTATACATTTTATACGTTGATTTACTTCAATGTCTTCTCACGTTTGGTTGGCGAACAAATTTAATAGCAAGATAAAATAATGCACATGCGAAGAGAGAAAAAGATTATATTTATCGAGCAAAAATTGAAACTTTATATCGTATAGTCGCATCTTTGTACTCTTACACTTTGTCAGGGAACAATTTTGAAAGATATAAATATTTCGATGCGACTATCTACTTTAATAGATTTTTGTAACTCGAGTCGCGCATTGTTATCAAAATAAACAATAATTTACGATATGTTTCGATTCTGGAAATATCGCGGACGGCCGTCTCTTTCCATATTACTGTTTAATGAAAACAAGTTGACCTTGGATTCACCGACGGTGGATTATCATCGCGTCGCTATTACATAGTACTCGCTTGACAGGAATCGCGTTGATTACGTTACGCAGGTACGTCGCGTGCGCACACCCAGCAGAGGATAAGATAAGGACTGGCCCTTGAGTTGCGCTGTGATCTGCAGGAGGTAGGCTTTGCCGGGCTGCAGCCTCCTCAAGGTGAACGGCAGCGCGCGATCCTTCGGAGGACTATGCTTCTCCTCGCATACCTCGAACGTGTATTCGGACCGCCTGCGCCGATGAAGCCCGCACTGATCGGGCACGGTCGTGACGCTGGTCAGGGACGACGAACTCCGCAGTTCCTTCACCAGGATGCAATACTTGGCGGCGCCGGCCGGTTCTACGCCTATCGTCACCTCGTGACAGGTCCTCAGAGATCGGTACTCGCGCGGCGGGCTTCTAGATGGTATCTGCGTCAAAAATGCGAGATCCAATTCGCGCTTCTGAACGGTTAAGATTTGGAGATTTGATTTCAATTCGATGATGCAATTTCGTGCAATGTTTTATATTATTGTAAATTTTTAAAAGATGATAATCGGATTTATCTCCGTTTGGACAGTTATTGCTTCCGCAACATTAGAAAGCATGAGAAGAGAGAGAATAAAGAATAAAATACACACAAAAGAATTTTTCACGGTCGTTGATATACAGGGTGTTCAAAAAAAGTTGTACCAAATTTTAGGAGTATATAGTACTCGTAAAAATAATCCAAAAAGTTTTAATAAATAGTATTCAAAAAACTATTTATTTTTGAGTTATAAAGCATCTTCTGTTATTATAGATAAAACTCATTTCAAATATGCATTGTATAATTGTATTTTCAAGAAAAGTGGATAAAACGTGGCGATCTAGTTGCATGGCCACCTTGCTCATCCGTTAGACTTTTATTTATAAAGACACTTAAGGAGCATGATGTATGCCATATCAGTTGATACATTGGATGAACTGATACAGAAAATTGAAAACTATTGTCAACAAATACAAAATAAACCTGGGATCTTTGAACGTGTTCGATTTTCAATGAGAAAGCGTGCCGAATAGTGTGTTGAAATGAACGGAGGGCACATCGAACATCTACTATAGCTTGAATTTATTTAATAACAAAAAATGCTTTATAACTCGATAATAAACGGTTTTTGGTGTATTATTTATTAAGACTTTTTGGTTCGTTTTTACAAGTACTACATACTTCTAAAATTTGGTACCACTTTTTTTTAACACCTTGTATATAAGAGGAAATTTGTGCAGTCTGTAAACATACTTGCGGATAAATAGTGGATGACTCCTGTGTGGCTAGCACTTTTATCATGGATACTCGAACTAGTTCCTGCGGTGTGGTCGATATACGTAACGTGTACGTCTTTCTGGGAGGTAGAGGAGGTACACGCAATGAGGCATATCCAACAACCTCTTTTTCCTATCGATCATATGAAATACGCACTTTTAAATATCAACGATGTCGCGCTAAAGAATTTCAATTAATGACAGAACGATCAGCTGTTCCATCATCTGTCACATCTGATCGCTTTCCGTAAACTTTACCCGCAATATCCCCTGTCCGCTCAATTTCGCCTTCACGATGCCTCCGCCGCAGGGTAGTATGTGAAAAGTGCTCGAGGTGTTGTCCGGCGGTCGGTAACGGAAATTGACGAAACCGTCCGTCTTTCGTAGATTAGCAGTAGTGTAATGACCGGTACGTAACGTTAGTTCCGGCGTCTTTTTGAACCTGACCGCGTCGACGGCGACTCGATTGGAAACGTTATTCCGCGTGTTCACCTGTGTCAAACGATATACATTTCTCACAACTTAACTATAACACGCGAAATATAACATAATACGATTAAATCTGTAATTTTTATAGATATATATTTAGAAGACATAAATAAAATCTCATATGAGATAATTGGAGGAATTAATAATATTCGCGATCATTTTTTATTCTTGCGTGAAAATTAGAGCGAAAGCGGAAAAAAACGTTTCTCGCGGATATATAGGATGTTAAGAAAAAAGTGTCACACATTTTGAGAGTAATCCTTTTTTTTAACATCCTGTATTTTGCTTCTGTCAAAACCAACTCGCTCAATTTCACGAATGACCGATTTGATTTAACTTGACGAGAAACCGACCACGTATAAAGTAAAGTTGTACGTAGTGTCGTATCTCATCCTATGAAGCGTCAGCTTGGTCTGCCGCACGCAGTGCAGACCTTCCGGGATGCCCCGATGGTGATGCTCCTTGGAGGACGATCCGGTTCTCGAAACCGGATGCGGATGAGCTTTCAGAACGTTCTGCGCGGCGCAGAGCGTCGACGGATGCGACTGCGAGCCCGAGGTGACAGCTAAACAGTAGTTTGAGAGATGAGGATCTACGTGGCTGGAAAAACAAATGTTCCGTCTCGAGATTGCACCTGTATGACGAAGTCATCGACGCGCGAGATGATCTTGCACCGAGATCGCGCGAGCAATGTTGCTGCAATATAATCGCAATGATCTGTGCTGTATGGGTACAGTCTTATCGCTTATCTCGTCACGTGCATCTCGCGCGCGTCGTATCCTTCGGAATGAAGCGGACAGAGGGATTGATACCTTTTGTTCCAGGAGATCGTGAGGCGCCGTTTACTGCGCCGTTGCTGAAATCTCAGCGAGCGATGTCGATGCTCCTTCTCGCTCGCGTACAGTACACCCGGTACGTGATCCAGGGCGCTGGACGTCGCGTAGAGGAGCACCGTGCCGGGCGCGCGCTCCGCCGAGCCGTTGCTCGCGGACTCCACGGACTTGATCTCGAACCAGTAAAGACCGGCCCGCGTCTTTGGTATCGTGAAATTTTGGTCGTCCGCGCCCACGTATGTGAAGAGTGGCGAGCCCGGCTTCAGAGTCTTCACGGGCCACTGCGTTTGCGCTACGTCGTAAATTGATTCGGAATCATTCGATCGATCTACAAGGGGTTTACAGGGACGCCCGATTATTCGAGCTTCGTCTCATCCGCGACGCGATCGCAAACAATACTTTGTAAAGTAAATATTTGTTAAGTTATTATAATGCGTTATGTCTCTCTCCTTTTTTTTTAAAAATTATCCTTGACCGTTTCAATCATTTTCGCAAAGAGTGTTGTAGCAATCAAAATATATTGTAACATCACACACACACATACACAATTTCAATTATATATAATATTTTTAATATGGAAAAAAGTATTTTTAAAGAAATAAAAAATAGAAAAAAAATATTGCCAAAGATATGAAACTATCGATAATAATGACAAAATAATGACAAAATAATGTTGAGCGCTACTGGCTTTTTACGGTATTCTTCTTCCAGTTATTATAAGAATGAGCAGAATTTCACCGTACACTTTACTCCTTCCGCTTCCTGATCGTTTTCGGGCGGCTCCACGTAACTGACCGTCCAAGATATCGGGCCGCTGCACGGGCTAACGAGTAACGTGAGAGGCGGGCCTTCCCGTGGGCTCAGGTAATAGAACCTGCAAGAATTTCATCTGCATCCAGTTTGATATTGGTGTTCGCGGCACGTTGAGCGTACGCAAACGTCGAGTAAAACGCGATATTGGATATACATAATACGATCGGTGTGTAATGGCATGCGCGACGCAATCGTCTCCGAGTATCTCGTCGCGGAAGACACTTTATTTTTAATATCTTTATCACGCGTATACACGGAGAACCCGCGGAAGATCGGCTCTTACTCGGACCTCGCGGATGCTGCATTCCGCACGTGTCGCGAAGCGCAAAAATCGCCACCGATTTATCGGCTTTAACCCGGAGCAAGCCTCTCGTTATCATAATCGGCGTCGATCGGCAACTTTAATCCGATGGAGACCGTGTAATCGACATAATTACCCGGTAGTCGCCGCAATCTTGAAGTCACGCAACATACGTGTACGCGCATACGTATTATACTCTGTGTATCCATCGTGCCGTTATATTTAGTCACAAGTTTGAGATCGAACTGATACGATATTACTTTCCGCCCCACCATCCTCGGTCACCCAATCTTTTTCTCTCTTCTTCTCTCGAAAGTTACACCGATTAACTTTACGCCTCGACGATGCTGCGCTCATCCTGTACCGCCCCCGCTCTCCTTCGTGCGTCTTGTCGGGGACGCTTTTCTTTTTTTTTTTTTCTCTCTCTCTCTCTTTTACGTCGATGTCGACAACGCGCCGCGGCTCAACCCGTTAGCTTCCAAAGCGTCCCAGCCACCGTCGCCGCCGTCTTCGTCGTCGTCGTTGTCGTTTGCGAGGAACGTCGAGACGCCGCCGGTCGCCGCCGCTGCAGCCGCCACACGTGCTCCTCTCGTTCGCGCGTCTGGCGGTGTGTGAGACAGCTATTGTAAAATTAGCGTCGGGGCACAATGCCGGCGTCGCGGCGTCTGGGGTCGCGCAGCCACGACCCCCGTAGTCTAAATCCAGCATCGTCGAGTCGTCCGCGAAAGAGAGAAAGAAATAGAGAAAGAGAGGCGGGAAGAGCCCCGAATTGATTCTGTTAGACGGTCTGTTCCCTCTCTTTTTCTCTCTCTCTCTTTTCTTCTTCCCTCCGCCCGGATGTCTCTGTCCCCCTTGTCGCGGCTTTCTGTCGCAAGTTTCGTGGAAAGTCGCGACCGAGATAGGTACGGCGTTTTACGACGCGTGGCGAC